ACAGAAGATGACGATTGGTGTGAGAAAATAAAGTATTAGAATAGAACATACGGTTGCATCTAGTTGTTCAATAGTAAAACGTTGAGACCTAAGTGACAATCTAGTAACACGATTAAATCCATGCAGACGAGGTACCATAATGAAAGTTCATCAAAAGAATTTCCCTGAAAATATTTGTAGAAAAGACAGAGGGAAACGACATCAAATCGGTGGGACTGAAGTCGAGATACTAGATCAGGATCGATTACATGACAGACCCTGTCTTTGAATTTTGTCAAGAATCTCGGGATATATTGACGGGGCACAAACCAGATATAGCAGCAGTATTCTAGGCAGAGAAGAATTTTCTGGCACGACATAGATTTCTACGTAGTAAATCTAGCAAGTGATTAAATACAACCATTCCACTTCATGTCAGTTGGAAACGTGAACACAAGAAGTTGCAAATGTTAAGAGATTATTGAGTAAAAGCACCAGAGATATGACCACAAAATAATTATGTGTCATATTAAACTGTCAATAAACAACGAGTGGATTTGCGTTCCTCATTAACTTTCGCTTGAGAACCGAACACAATATTCCACCATCTGCAAATGTCTTGTAGCCGGGAATGTCAACCTTTCATTTACTAAGATTTCTCGAAAGCGAAGACCAATGGACGTAACACTCACTGTTTAATAAATAAAAGAATAGGTTGTCTAAATACGAAATATACACAATAATTGTCTGATTAAAATCAAATGCACACATATATATATATAAATATATATATATATATATATATATATATATATATATATATGTGTGTGTGTGTGTGTGTGTGTGTGTGTGTGTGTGTGTGTATGTTACTCTTCAATATATATATATATATATATATATATATATATATATGTATATATATTACTCTTCAAATATGCATTATTGAGTTTACCGAGCGTTATTGACGTATTTCGTATAGAGAAAAATACCTTAGAAATTCTTCTTTTTCTGCTGTTCGACGATTGTCGAGGAATATGATATTTGATCGATGTCAAACTAGTCAGATATCTTACGTCTAGCCACAGTGAGGAGCTGTGATACAGCGAAACACTCTGTAGATGACTATATATATATATATATATATATATATATATATATATATATATATATATAGCACGCAAGGGGTTACAGAGAGGAGCAAAGGTAAAAGGTAAAGAGGCGTGACAGAGGAAAGGATGAAGACAAGGCCGTGGAATAGATCAAGCCATCTAGAGATGTCGACTGATATTGCATTTGAATATTTGAAGATTATAGCAATCAGGGAAGCATGAAAGAGGATGAGAGTTCCACTGACGGGAAGTGCGAGACATGAAGTTATTGGAGTAGAAGAGACGGCTACTTTTAACCGTTTCGACAGTGAAAGGGTGGGACTTAGATGCCAAACTAGTAAAACGTTTAAATTCATACAGTTTGGGAACAAGCGAATGTATCACATCGGAAGAGTTACCGTGAAAGTATTTGTAGAAACGATAGTGAGAAGCAACGGCACGTCTATGAGAGAGCGACTGTAGACGAGATGCCAGAACAGGACCAATAATATTGCATATCCGTCTCTGGATGTTGTCGAGGAACTTAAGACGAACAACGGGGTCTACAGACCATATATGACAGCAGTATTCCATGCAAGGCCGAATAGTTGATTTATAGTTTTGAAGGATGGACTCGGGTGAGAAAAACTTTCTTGCGCGACAAGGAGAACCGACGTTCCTTGTGGTACATGAAGCTATTCATTCAATGCATTTGTTACATCTCAGGTGAGAGGACAGTGTGAGATCAAATAGTCGCAGAGAGGTTCTCTTGGAGTTAAGCATCAAACATTCTATTGGGTGACAGGGAGAGTTCTCTGTGGTGGGTAAAAGAAAGCAGTTTTGTTTTTGAGGCATTTTACGCCATTTGTTGTCCCAGCCGACAACAGATTGGAGGTCCTTTTCGAGACTAGATTTTCTATTGAGGCAGAAGTAAATATGACTGTCGTCTGCATAGATGCCTACTTGGGTACTGATGGCATCGGGAAGATCGTTAATGATAGAAAAAAAAGGATATTTCAACATCCTCCTCTCATCATTATAAAAACGACCCTTCCACAAAAAGAGAGCCAGTAGAATAGTGTAGAATATTCTATAGCAACAGACCAGTAGACAAGTAGTAGTAGTGCAGAAAATCATACCTTTCAGCATTCCGTGAATATCGAAAACAGACGATTTCAAACACCATCCTCACAAACGAAATTCTCGGTACCAAATCAAGCACTGACGTTGAAACAAAAGACACTTTTACACAAACTATACCAATATTCTGTAATTATTCACATGACAAATGTAAATATAAATTCTTATTTATGTCAACACGTGTCTCAAGTATTTATTGTTTATGTCATTGTTGTACGTTTTAATGCATTTCATTTATAAAAAAAGAGACAAAGGATTCCTCCTACACTACAAATACATATAGCAAGGGGGTAAATACTTTAACAACACTCAAATAACATCGTCAGGATTACTACTACATCAACACCCAAAATTACTTGCCGTGTTACAAAACCCTTCAAAAAGTAATTAATCTACAAAATAGATTTTCTACAGTGAATTAAAAAAAATAAAACAAACTCTTATTAATAATAAGTATATTTTTGATAAAAAATAAGATGTTCTATCAAAGATTTGAATAAAAAACAAATAGAATGTAATACTTTTTCAACTAACGCCAAACAAAAATCTTTTATATCGCAACGAAATATATTCTAATTATAAACAAAAAGAAAATATCCCAAAAAAAATCAATAAATACTAACATATTCACAACAGATCCTAGTAAAAAAAAAATAAAATAAAAGGAGTTATACATCACATTAAATCCAGTGCTTCCAATTTAATTATTTGTAATGACATTTCCCCACCAGCTAAAGTGTTGCAGAAAACTAACATTGCATATAAATTTAAATATCCTCTGGGAGATTGTATCTCCAACGGAAAAATAATGTTGGGCACACTACGACCACGTTGTCTCAGTGGCTGAATTTTCATTTGAATGTTGCGTTCAACATTTCCAAACAACAGCCTCCATGTCGACATTTGAAATTCAGGAAAATTCTTGTTGAGAATGCATCTATAATTTTTCATGAAAATAATAAATATAACCTAAAAATTATTGAATCTCTTTATATTAAAAGATTGAAACCAAACATTAATAAAAAATAATTATGACTACTGCACAAATGTACAGTATAAAGTTGAATAGTGATGTTCTGTACCAATAGTTTTTAATACTTATTTAAAAAAAAAAAACACTCGACACAGTGTGCGATGTACAAATTTTCGTGTAAATTACGGAAAAATGAAAATAACGCTGACATCTCATTTTAACAGATATATTTACAAAAACTGCACAACTGGACAGATGTAAGGTGTGATGTGGTCGCAGAAATTGTCTGACAGCAATGACTAGGTTCTTCTGCTTGTGTGGAATGGAGCAGAGTCCTGTTGCCAGAAATAGGCAATCACTTTCTTGATCCAACGCAGCAATACCTTTTAAAACCTTCTTAATCGCCATGAGACTCATCCAACTCTTTTCAAATCCGCTGCACTGTCCTCAGATTGACATCCAAGCACTCTGAAATATGCATGTTGGATCTTTCGGTGCGAATGCCAAGCAGTACAATATGTTGTTTCCAAATTTCTGGCGGAGTGAATTGCGTCATGGTGGTCATTCTTTCACAGACGGTTCATAACTGACCTTACTATATTGTGCAATTGACAAAATCAAGAGCAAACAACATGCATAAGCGAAATCAAAAATATCAAATAGCGACAATTTACCCATCGCATCTAGCATTTCGTATTCGACGTGTGAGGGTCAGTGGCTCAGTTCCTAGGGACCGACAGCCAGGCACCAGCACATATGATTTGATCATAGTGGTGAAGGCTTTGTGCAGAATCCACCACAGTTGTTGAAGGGCTGAATAGACAGACTTGGCGCACTACATGCCACAAGATCCCCAAACAACCTTCCGCAACCTTTGAATTCAGTTGTCCTTCTCCTAGACCAGTTACCATCCAAGGCTATAGAACCCTGCTTGTCCTGCTAATTACACATACCTGGAAGGAGAAGAAGATGATTCCTACCTTTCCCAAGGGCATAGCGCGTAAGTGAATGTAATGGATTCGACTGGAATTCGAACTCTCCAAGCCCTCAGTTCGAGCCGATAGACACTCCGCTACGGTTCTCTCTCTCTCTCTCTCTCTCTATATATATATATATATATATATATATATATATAATAATGTGTGTGTGTGTGTGTGTGCCTGTATGTATGCGCGCGCGTTTTATTGTTTTTACAGCGAGATATTTTGCCATAATTTAAAGATCATATCTGACATTTTGATGAGTTTATGTTGGATTGTAGACAGTGAAATCGCCTGCACTAGTCAGAGATAAATTTAATAAATATATTTTAGAGAAAATTTTTCTTACGTATGTTAAATAATTATGTAATACAGTATGTGTATTTATGTTAATATAGGGGGTTTTGTAAAATAGAGAAATCATGTATTTGTGCATTCATCTGAACATGTATGAGCACGCACATCCATAATTATGTGTTTGTCTCTTGTTAGAATCATTATCTTTCATACAGCATTAAGAGTTTGGTCTGTACGTGTTTATGGGTTTCCATACGTCCACTTTTGTAAGGCTGTATATAATGGCGTAGTCAAATAATGTGCCGATGAAATGGATGACCTGCATTATATTGTTTGTTTGAAGTGGACTCCGGTATTGAAATTCTTGTTCAGGAGCCCACCTGAGATCGGCCAGGCGGAGCTAAGTGATACTAGATTGTTGCAGGTAACACCTGCTTATTAAAGGATGAGGCAGACATGTGTCAAAAGGGGAAATCATTAAAAAAAAAAATGAAAGCAGGGACAGAAGAGAAACAGCGTAAAAATGGAGGAAGAGAGAATCCTTCAAAGAGTAGCAGGGAGAAGAAAAACCTGAAGAAATGACGGGACGAAGAAAGGAGAAAGGGGGTTGAGAACTATAGCTAAATTGGAATAAACAGTTCGTGGATAAATAGAAGCGGGAGACGGGAGGGACGATTCGAGGGGAAATATCATCGCGTGAAGAATAATGAGAAGAAGTTGCTGAAGAAAGCGAAGAGCGTTAGACGGTTGGGGGAGAAAAAGGAGAGGAATAAAGAGAAAGACATTGAAATGTAAATAGAGGAACACCCTCCAAAAAAAGAAAAAAAAAAAAAAACGGGCGTGAAGAGAGATATAAAGAAACAAATAAAAAGAAAGCATAGACGAAATGAGAACGATAGAGAAGGTGATAGAGAAAGATAGAGTCGCATGAAGAGAAGAGAATAGAGAGAAATAGATAACAAAAGATAGAAATCAATGGAGAGAACAGTGTAAAAAAAAAAAAAAAAGCGCCTAAAATATAGGAAGAGGAGAAAAAAAAAGGGGGTGTTTACACCATATAGAAGATGGAAAAAGAAACGCTGAAGTAGACGTTAGGTGAGAAATAGAGGAAAAAAATAAAATGAATGTATGAGAATGAAAAATGACGAAAGGCGAGTAATAAAAATGAAGGAATGCAATAATATTGTTAGTCATAAAAATAGAGAAAGATAATAATTGACTAGTAATAAAAATTAAGAAATGAAATAATAAGAATAAGAATAAAAAATGAATGATAGCCATAATAAAACGGCTTATTACGAAGAAAGAAAGGTGATTAATAAAAGTGAAGAAAGGTAATAACAAGGCAAGTGTTGAATTTAAGGCGAGAGTTAAAAATGAAGAAATGCTATAAGGCAAATAATAAAAATGAAGAATGACAATAATAAAGCGAATAAAATAAATGAAGAAAGGCAATAATAAGGCAAGAGTTAAAAATGAAACAAAGTAATTATAAGACAAGAATAAAAATGAAGAAACATAAGAATAAGGTGAGTAAAAATGAAGTAAAGCAATTAATACAAATGAATAAAGGCAATAGTAAGGCGAGTAATAAAAATGATGAATGGCAATATTAAGGCGAGTAATAAAAATGATGAATGACAATAGTAAGGCGAGTAATAAAAATGATGAATGGCAATATTAAGGCGAGTAATAAAAATGATGAATGGCAATAGTAAGGCGAGTAATAAAAATGATGAATGGCAATATTAAGGCGAGTAATAAAAATGATGAATGGCAATAGTAAGACGAGTAATAAAAATGATGAATGGCAATAGTAAGGCGAGTAATAAAAATGATGAATGGCAATAATTTTAAGTAATAAAAATGAAGAATAATAAAAAAAAAAATGATGAATGGCAATATTAAGGCGAGTAATAAAAATGATGAATGGCAATATTAAGGCGAGTAATAAAAATGAAGAATGGCAATATTAAGGCGAGTAATAAAAATGAAGAATGGCAATATTAAGGCGAGTAATAAAAATGAAGAATGGCAATATTAAGGCGAGTAATAAAAATGAAGAATGGCAATATTAAGGCGAGTAATAAAAATGATGAATGGCAATAATAAAGTGGGTAATGAAAATGAGGGTAGGCAATAATAAGAGGAATAATAAAAAAAAATATAGATAATATAAGTAATAATAAGGCAGGTAATTAAAATGAATAAAAACAATAATAACCCGAGTAATAAAAAACGAAGTAAGGAAATAATAACGTAATAAAAATGAAGAAAGGCAATAATAAGACAAGAAATAAAAATGAACAAAGGTTAATTACAAGGCGAATTATAAAAATAGGAAAAGGCAATAATAAGGCAAGTTATAAAAAAGGCAATAATAAGGCGAATAATAAAAGCGAAGATAGCCAACAATACCGACAGTAATGAAAACGTAAAAAATTCAAGAGAAAATTACGAAAAATTAGAGGAGACAAATCAGAAATGTTAATTCAAAAGCCGTGGAAGGTCGTTTGTGGACGTTGTCGCACACGATGTGCTTTTCCTAAAAGTATTTTACACAAAACTTCACCACTCTAATGAAATCCTATGTGCAAGTTGCCTGACCCTTTTTTGTACCCTCATAAGTAGAAAACACCGGGAGAGTACAATAGTACGATGAAGCTTTTTATCTAATGTTTCTCAAGAAACATTAGATAAAAAGCTTCATCGTACAAGTGTTTTCTTTCTGGACATAAAGTGTGTAGATGTTCTGTAATTCCGACTATACTTTTACTGCATGCCTATCCAGACACCTTACCACAGCTCCATGGGAACTCATTTAAATACACACACAAACTTACCAGACTCCATCCGAAACATACTAGTAGAAAATACAAACATAATAACCTTATCCACGTGTATAAAAGATTAAAAATAATTAAATCTATAATAATAAAAAAGGAAAAGCAACACTCAATAATATTAACTACGAACATGGCCAAAATGTTCTGACTGTGTTCGAAAATAAAACATCCGTATAACTCTAGAAACATACGTACAACGTATACAATCAGTTAAAAAAGTAAAAATGAAATCAATCTTGATAATAGCTAAAAGTATAGCCGAAAGCGTTCAGAAATTACAGAACGTTTGGATAGTTTCTAAACACTGTGTTCGGAAAAGGAAACATTTGTTCGAACACAGGAAAAATTAAATAAATCCTTAATGGCACCTTGTCTGTCGGCTTTAATGAAAGAGGGATTGTTGCTATATATATATATATATAAATAATATATATATATATATATATATATATATATATATATATATATATATGAAGGATAGAAATTAGGAGCATTTGAGATAATTCTTATAGACTCGATGAATTAATTATAATTATCTCAAATCCTCCTAATTTCTATCACTTGTATAATCCTTGCCTGAACCGGCTACTAATGCTCTGGATGGAGCGGCTTATGGATAGCAGTCGTGGCTCGTGGGGGCGCAGTCCTGTGGGTAAAAGAGTAACTCGGATGAGTTCCACCACGGAATTGAGCGGCGCTATATCGAGACTTGATTCGCTACCTCCTCGTCACCGAGGCCCGTTGGTACAGTTGGAATGACGTTTGCCTGATAGTGTTTCAGTTCTCGGATGCGCACTGCTGATGAGTCCCATATAGAGAACGAATTGGGCCTCTAGTATCTTCTAGACTCGATGAATTACTTATTTATATATTGTTTATTTTTACTATATTCATGGGAGAAGACGGGGAAAGAGCTATCGCAAATATAGACATTGTGTATATAAGACACAACAGTTTAGGTGATTGTCTGTCTGATATTCGCTTTGGCCATGAAACTCTCACTCACAATGAATAGTTCAACGATTGTTTCGAAGATGCATTCATTCCCAAAATTAAATATCGTTTAATGGCGACCAAAAGTGAAATTCTCCAGTCGTGTTCAAATTAAACTCTCGTTTTTTATTCACGTCCACCATCGAACAAATACATTTGGGAATGACATGAATCCATTTCTTATTCGTCCAACTTTGAAGTAAACAGCATGATAAACTTGGAATATTCTTATCAGCTGGTCATGATGGACAAAGAGAAATCCCTGCATGAAGTTTCTCAAGATATGTGTGTCTGTAACTAATTTGACTCGGGCAACACTTGCTCCACATAAACATATTATAACTTTTTGGAATTAGGATAAGCCGGGCTTGAAAATTTTCGCTACATCTGGTGCTTGTAAATGCAGGATATATTTTAAGTGAAAAAAAAAATTACTAATTTTAAAAGTTTTTAATTCATATTGAGTTTAAAGTAATACAAAAAAAAACTTCATAAAAATATTTTAAATTCAGTTTAAAATATCTCTAAAGCTTTTTGAATTGGGGAAATCAATTTTATTCTTTCAAAATGCCAAGGAATCAGAGTTAATGTGAGATTTTTCGCGTCGTGGGCTTTTTTTGTGTCGGAAACCTACCACCCTTCTTGAAGATGAACTTGTCTACGTCTGTGAACAAAGACTTTAAATAGTGGCATGTCAGTTGACATGGGGAGAGACAGATAGACCGAGAGGGTAAGACCTCCGAGTCTAGCTGAGTCGTGATACAGTCTTTGACTGTAAGCGACGTCTGTCGAACTCTCTGCATTAGCAGAGAGGAACCCGGATGAAGTTTTGCCGAATGGCAAGGTTTCGTCCGGGGAGGTAGACAGGGCCTGAACCCGTCTAGGCGGGTTCAAAGGCTATATTTTTGGCCGAGCCTACGGGCTCGGGGATACCCACATTAAACCAGCCTTGTGCCACATTCAATCCTCGTGGGTGGATCGATAAATACTGAGACAGATAGACCGAGAGGGTAAGACATCCGAGTCTAGCTGAGTCGTGATACAGTCATTGACTGTAAGTGACGTCTGTCGAAAATTCTGCGTTAGCAGAGAGGAACCCGGACGAAGCTTAGCCGAAGGGCAAGGTTTCGTCCGGGGAGGTAGACAGGGCCTGAACCCATCTAGGCGAATTCAAAGGCTATATTTTTGGCCGAGCCTACGGGCTCGGAGATACCCACAATAAACCGGCCTTGTGCCATATTCAATCCTCATGGGTGGACCGATAAATACTGAGACAGATAGACAGAGAAGTTCTTAGCTGAGCTAGTTATTGACTACTCAGGCGATTTCTGTACCTTTTTACCAACCTATTAAAACCCTTTTTATTGTTACGTGTTATTTGGCGTTTGTCTCTACTAACCCCTAATCAACATCATAACAGCTTTGAAGTTTCGCAAAGTAACCGACACTTAGGGGACAATATTGATTGACACACGGCTGCAGAGACAGGAGAGATTTGCTGTCGATGGAAGCCTCTGACTTCAGCCTTGTGCCAAACTTTACCAACAACAGCAAAGCAGATTTTGCCAGATCAATAATAATATCACTTCCGATTTAGACGCGGGTCGGGCTGACAACTGCATGCGAACTTTGATATAACCAATTATTTTACAGAAGACTAATGTAAAAACGGTATTTACTATCGTTTAATTTATTCGAGTGTTATTTTCTTTCCTGTACGTCATCGCCCTGCTTGGACCAGTCCAACACGAAGATAGCTGCGACGATTCGATCTTAGGTGCATTATGATAAAATTTAAATCACAAGTGGGGATAAGGTTAGTTCTGGATTGAAGCGGTCACTTCAGCGACCATCCGCGGTGTTGAATCTCTTGGACGACCGTAGAAGGTGTTGTACTATTATAACAATAAAAATAAAAGAAATCTGTGGCGAGACATGATTATCTTGATTCTGAAGAAGCAAGACATTTAAAAGAAAACAAAAGAAAAAAAAGGAGTTCTGTGATCATCGTAATTTATGGTATTTGAAATGTTTACCATAATTTCTCGAAAATAAAACGCATTTTTTTTTACTGTAAATTACAGGTGATAGTAGGGGGTGCGTATTATAAAGAGGTTCAAACAAAAATATCTTTTTCGTTATTGATTTTTAATAATAAATACGTACTTGTTATTCTAAAATAATAAAGATATTATCCCAATTTTCATTTAAAATCCAACAATAACAACTGTAACATTTTTTGTAAATAAATTTATGTTTATCAGTAATCGCATTTTTTATTTGGCGAAAAAATAAAAATATCTATAAGAATGCCAATTTCGAAGAAGAGAGGATATCAAGTTAACAATTTACTGAAATTTTAATTTTCATCATCATCATCGTGATCATCATCATCATTATCAACACCACCACCACATCCACCACCACCATTTTCTATTATAGAATCAATATCTAAATTGTCATTAAACAAATTGTCATTCACAATATTTGTCCTGTTCAAAATTATCTTCGGCCTCTTCATTCTCTTGCCAAAAGATGTCATCTTTAGAGCCATCCATAGCTGTCGTGAGACAACACTACTTGAAAACATTATGGTAACTGCCAACATTATTTTAGCCGCTTAGTTTCGATTTTATTCTTAATGTCAAGATCGACAAAATTTCTTCGTTATTATTATTATTTTTTTTTGGGGGGGGACAAAATTTATAGATGCGTATTATACAATAGGGATAGATATATTTCTTAATTTTTGGATCATCTGTTGGGATGCGTATTATTTATGGGTGCGAATTATTTTCGAGAAATCACCGTAGTTTAAATTCTTTTCGTTTTAGTCTTCAAGGATACATTTCTCTTCGCTATCAAATATCAAAATAATAATTTCCCCTCGTAAAGGCGGAATTTATCAATGCCGAGCCAAATGAGCATACGCTAGAACTTAAGATTCACTTTCTGATCGCATATTTAACATTAAGAATCACTGGAAGATGATCGTTCGATATTAGTAATGAGCGCTTCGTAATCAATTTGAACGTTCGAAAGGACGCCGATGATTGTTTACATGCCTTTATATAAAACATAATAAAATAAAATATTATTTTCTTGTTAACATTTTCCTCTCGAGTTGTATTTATTTATTTATATTTTAGCGATTTTCTTGCATTATCTCAGATGGAACACGTACATGGGTTCTATAATGTCAAAGTTGAATGCTATGATTATGAGAGAATTCATGAAGAAAGGTAGAACGTAAGGAACTTCGACTGAATGGAAATTAAAAAAGTAAAAAATTCAAAATTCAAAGAAATGGGAAAGTGTTTTTTAAAGCCAAAATAAAGGAGACGCAAGAAGAAGGGCAAGAAAGACAAAACGTTGGTAAAAATGCTTAACATTTACGGAAATGTTTAAAATTTACGGAAATCCAAAATACAAAGAACAAGATATTTGAAATGCGATGTCACAGCGAATATAAAAGAAACGATGGCATCTCACGTATTGTTTTATTCTCGTGTACAAGTCGGTTTAAAAGTTACAGATTCGTGTTTTTTATTTGCTGTGTCCATTTTGGACGTGGGTAATCATGGCACATCATACACATTCACACACACTCATACAGTTTGACGCCGATTAAGCTAGAAAAAATAAAGCGATAATAAAATCAAATTATTATACATTAAACAATATTTCAATGAAACTTTATGCACAGTTAATCATATATATATAGTATAAAACTCCATTGATATGATCACAATAGGCAGCTACCATTTTCTCCAGGCGGAACCGGAAGTTGGAAGCCTTGGCGACGGTGTTCCTGTCCCTGTTGGTCATGCCATCCATGATAGCTTACTTGAAAGCATCTTTGGTGTTGTAAGCTTGCTGTTCGCCTCCAAGTCCAAGACGCCTTCTCACAAAATAGTCTGGAGATGAGGCAAGCCATCAATCAAGCTACCCGTGGTACGGTGAGTAAGTATCGCCTCTTGGGCACATAAGATTTATAATTGAAATCCTGCTTGACAATACACACGATTGTTCACATGCTAGTGCCCATTTCGTTTACGATTTCATTATTCTTTTGCTGAGGTTCTCCATGGAAAGGTCGGCAACGAAATAAGACGTTCTGGTTGTGCTAGTGTGTTTCTTTGAGTCTTGCATTTTGGCCTGAAATTATCCTTGTTGTCTGAGACTCCGTATTTCTTTTAGGATATTTAAACCTTTCAAAGATTACCTTGGCTTTGTAGCCGTCACGAAGGCTCTCCACAGCAGTAGCTCGACAATCGTATTCTGACGACATGTCGATTATTAAGGCAAATATATATAAAAAAAATCAATCCAAACCATAACAAATTTAATTATGATCACTGCACAAATGTTTTAGAATATGTGCGACAGATAGTTTAAAATATCAAGGTTTGCATTTTTAGTTTTAATGCTTATTTTTAGAAACTCTTGACACACCATATTCAGCTACCTCCCCAGAAGCTTGAGTTAAGCCATCATGTACTCACTCAGCAGAAGTAAAAATTTAACTTTTATATGAACACAGTAGTTTGTCTTTGAAAATAGTGAACACTACAACATTTGCCTTAAAATAAAACACTGATGATGATATTGTGCTAAGTCGAAAGTACTCGGATTTTCTCTCTTCCTTTAATAATGACACGAAAAGGCTTGCCCGTGAATATGAAAGGATCCAACTGGAAATAAGTAGAAAAAACTCGTCTAAATTATTCAATGAAATGTCTATATATATATATATATATATATATATATATATATATATATATATATATATATATATATATATATATATATATATATATATATATATATATATTAGTTGATATCAGGCTAAGAACAATTTTCCTTTTTTATTTTGATAATTTTGAAACTTTCATGAAATTATGAAATTAGATTTGTTTAAAAATAGATTTGATAATTCATTCGTCATTTAAGACTTCATCAGTTTCAAAAACGAAAGAATGACATTCCTGTGTGTGGATTTGTGTGCATGATTAAATAATAAATCTTAGTACTTTTTCTCTAAGCTGGCGTTTCTCGGGATTAGAGACAGAAAATAAATGAGTTTAAAAAGAAAATCGTTATTTAATCTAGTATCTTTTCTTTAGTCTTAGTTCAAATCGAAAGTTGTTAATGTATTTTCCCAGTTTTTTTTGTGTCGAATTAAAGGCAAACCCTCTTCTCATTATCAGAATAGCTCGAAAGTAAGAAATTCATTTCGCCTTTTTTTTAAACGAATGCGAGCTATACATACAATCTTTCAGAATGGGTTGAAATTAAAAGATTTGGTTTTTGGATTATGATGAAGCCTTAAATGGCGAAATGCCTTATCAAATCTATTTTAAAACTTTTAACCCCCACCCTTGAAACTATAAATCCGTCATATATATATATAAAAAAAAATCAGGCAACTTTGTTAAAAACCTAAAGGAAACGAATATGACTTAAAACAATACGTTAAGTTTCTAAGACATCATGTTACACCGAGTTGACAACAGCCTAAAACTTAGTGTTCACCGAAAATCGATCAATAAAAATGACCTTATAATCTTCTATTCCCATCATAACAACACAATAAAATCCGGAATGGTCACTGGATTCTATTTTAGAGCACTCAGAATTTGCAGCTCTCAATATTTACACGAAGAGAAGGAATATATTGAAAATACTTTTGAGATCTTTCAATAACGTAACTATTCCATATTTAATACGAAACAAAAGGCTCATAAATTATTCCTAAACAGAAAAGCTGTCCTTCCGGAAAAAAAAACAACAACAATGAATCTGTAAAATATATTATTTTACTCACTAACTCTATCACAATTAATCCCGAACTAATTTATCTAAATTCAGCATAAAATTTGTCACAACTACATTTAAAAGTATTTATATTCTTCGCCCTCATATTTTTTTGCCATATTCACGACGTTTCGGCCATTGTACACTCCGGCCTTCTGCAGATAATTGGAATTCCTAACTAAACCCCTTATTTAGTTCCCAAGGGTAGATTCGATAATGGGGTAGTGGATAAAATCGTTGGCTGGATCAAGTGACCGGCCCAAAGAGTTGTGAGTTCAGTACCTGCTTACTGCAGTGGTGAACAAAAACTTGGAGAGCCGAGTTCAAGGGTGATAACTGAGACATCCGGAAGAGGCGCGACACGTGGAACTAGAACAAACTACCCCGGTGGACGAAATAAAGCGTTCAGTTCGAAATTCCAATCACCTGAAGAATGCCGGAGCGTACAACGGCTGAAATATTGTGAATAGGGCAAACAAGACTAGGGCAACATTCCGAAGAATGTTAATAGTGTAAATAATTACAATATTTAATCTCAGAAAGAATATAATAGACAAACGTTAAAACGTTTAAACAAAATACTATATGTACATAAAAGAGACATTTAAACAAAAACAAAACAAATAAAATTCATTCATTGTTCAGCGTAACGAAACTGATCACAATTTTGGCAGAAGGATTGCTACTCTGATTAAAAGATAAAATAATTCACTAATACGAAAATGTCTCCAAACTGCCTTGATCGCTATTTCCGTCACGATAATTTTGTGTCCAGGCTCTTACAATATATCCCCATTCTTGGCAGATTTTCTGTTGTCACAGTGTGGGATAATCAAGGACAAAGGTGATCGAGAGAAAAAGAACAAGTAAAATGTATAGATGAATTTGGCTAGACTGAAAAAAAAATATTCTTTCAAAAGTTTTGAAACTACCAGCTTCTCTCGTTTTGTGTACATGCGTATTCGTGGCAAGAAAGCACAGTCCGATGAAGTCCTAAACGCGTCACAAAAACTTCTTTTTTTTCAGTTTGTCATATTATTTTCTCAATAATGTATCTTGATATATAAAATTTCTCCCCCCCCCCCCATCTCCTGATACAAGTAAATAGCAGGACAGATTGCGCCTTCTCTTAAATAGCTTTAGTTGGCAAGAAAAACGCCCCGAATTCAACCCAGACTGGAGGGTTCAGCAAAGCATGAATGAACTTCTTGTAGCAGTCATCGTCCAACATGCAGCTAGATGGCAAATCATATTTACGTATGCCTGCGGTTATAGCATCCTTTGACATGTTGTTATAAAAACCATGGTAGAGAGAGTGTGCACTGGAGAGAGCAGGAAAATTTCCATTTTAAACAAGTCACCGGGTTACGACAGTCCCAACCACCGACGGTTCCTGGTTACGACGAAGTCTCCCTTAATCTTGTTTCGACTTATGCCGTTTTCCTCGTTGATACAACGAAAACGGTGCGACGGAAGTAAACGCAGCACGGCGGAAGAATTTTCTTCTTTGTGTCCCTTGTCCCCATACGATGTGAGCGATCATATCTCCCCACAGTTTCCTTCCTTTGTAGCGCTTAATAAATTTTGTCTTTATGTTAATTCTTCTAAACCCTGTTCCACTATCTATTTACTTCAACTTATCAAGTATGTTATGAGCTGTTTTCCTATTGTGGACTCTTCCACAACAAACTAGTTAACCCCTGCTAGGAAATGCACAATTCCTGTTATAATTTTCACCATCACAATCTTACAAATATATAACAAGTATTCATTGGTCAATCACTTTCAATCTAGCTTGCTGATTGGTCAGTTCCGACCAATCAAACCGCCTGCACGCGACCAATCTGTTTTCCGGCTCATATGCTGGGAGCCTCCCCACGTGGTACACGACCATTATATAAATCCAACACGTGGAAGCTCCCTGAGTAATTTCTTCTCATTCCTTGCTACCAAGTGGCAAGATGTAATCTTCAAGAACTCCCGTCTTAGCCATTGCGGTCAGACGTTAAAGACCATTACCAACATTCACGCATGTACGAACTCTGAAATCTCTTCTGAACTTTTACCAACTTTACAACTCAAAATTCCAAACTTAATTCTTCTAAATTACTGTTTAATATTACTTCCTTTTAATATGAACTCAGGTACAACTATTATCTAATCAAAGGGACACGACTCTGTCCTACCTTTTCAGTTCACATGCATGTATATCAAATATTAATAAATTCAATTGTTATGTTTTGAAATCATTCCGTTCTGTTTTGTATTTGATACTATGTGCTATTTACGTCAAATATGGATTGCATTGCGTCCACGCATTGTCATTAATTCCACTTTTCCTAGCCAAAGTTAAATATTGGTAACTCAACCATTACAATAATGATGACCCCGACGTTCGTCGTTCGACGTTCACAACAACAATCGTAACACCGTCGCAACACTATGTCCCTCTTGCCATCAATCAGTCCTGTGGGTATCAGATTTTCCAAGCCCTCTTTTCTCGTTATGTGCCACAGAAATTTCAACTGCTGATGTTATGTATATGTTTCTTTTTATTCTGTTTTCTCTAAAACGTTGCCGTTACTCACGTATTCTCTTCAAGGTATCTCCTGAATCCGCCTCAAGAAACACATTTCTGTTGCTTCAAGTCTCTTCTTCATCATTTTCTAGCATTTACTGTCATATAAAAAGACAGATATCACGTAACAGTTCAGTACTGTTTGTTGTTTTTAACAAAGTGTTTCTGTCCCATAATACCTTGCTTTGCTTTTTGAATGCATATTTGGCTATTCCAATACATTTTTCGGATTTCAGTGTCGCACTTTCCGTCTTCTGTCAGAACAATTCCCGGGAATATCTAGAAAGATCTTATTCTTTGTCATCTCATCTACCGAAAGCCATCACTTGCAATAAATATACAAGCAGCTTAAAACAATTTCATTTCATTATATTTACCATTTTCTGTTCATTTCATTAGATTTTATTATACTTATCTCCTTCATGCGTTTTTCTAGTCCTAATTATGATAACATATGTAATCGAATTATGATTATTACTTGTGAGTTAGAACAGCTAAATGATATCAATACCTAATCAGTGAGATTCGCAGGTACGACTTACACGGAAAATCGCGTTACGATGCATCATAGGAATGGAACTCTGTCCTAAGCCGAGAAAACTCCTCTTTTTAAAGTGGAGCCCGAGTTTAACAACGAGTGGCTAGTGTCTTTCATACTCTAACTGAATCTTTATACCAGTTTCAAAGATTATTTAATTTTTATTTTTGTTGTACTACTATAAATGATGCCAAAATTCTGTTGTAGATATAATATTTGTAGTTAAAATATGTGTGTGTGTGTGTGTGTGTGTGTGTGTGTGTGTGTGTGTGTGTGTGTGTGTGTGTGTTCGCGGTTAGTAAAAAAATATATATATATATATATATATATATATATATATTGTTGTGGATTCCGGGAT